GGTGCAGGTAACGGGACATGTTGTTGGTTTTTTGCTTACCTAACCCTTAATTGCATAGAATATTTTTGATTATAGATTTTTAAAGTCAAAGTCAAAGCATTTATTTCAATTAAACCATAGTTTGGTACTTTTGAAACGTCAACAAATACAAAATAAATAATAGTCTGTCAGTCAGTCCGTCAGTGAAAATAGGTGAAGCTAGGTGCTCATTCTAAAACGTAGATTCGAATGGAGAATAACGAGCAAGAAACTCCATTCGTTACTCTTTTTAAAAAAAGTATGTTCTACAATGTCTCTGATACATATTTCAATACTGTACGCATATGTAAGAACAATGCAAAGACACGCTTGACGCATTATACTAATAACTTACTTACTAAAATAAAAAAAAATAAAAATCTTAAGTCTAACATGGTGCTCACATATGCATACTGACAATCCATAGAAATAGTGCTTCTATACAAGAAAAAACTTAAATAAGGAAAATATGCAGCGTGTAGGAAAAGTGTCTATATTAATGTTTAAGGGTTAAGTTAACTTAGTAAAAGTATTATATAAAATTATGTAGTTTTGTGTTCAACAAAAATTTATCAAGCCAAAACACAAGGTAGTCACTATAAACCGTTGAGTTCCTTCGACTGTCTGTCGGTTCCATCATCAGGTCGACTCCGAAACAAACTCAGAAGTATTCCTGCGACCACTCAACCACCGAAGTATATAACAACTTAATACTAAACGTAAAATAGCTGCATATTTTCCCCAAACACTATCAAAATAAATACATAAAACCTATTGTTCTCATTTTTATGCGATCAGAATAGATTTTTATCGCATGATTTGAAAAAAAAAAACACTGATTTATTATGATCCCATCATTCAGTAAGTTGCGAAATATACAACGTGCCATTGGAATTCAATCGAATACATTTCTAGCCATAAATTGTATACGAGATTATATTTATGCGTTAAACAAAAGATCTATTCTTAAGTTTTCATGCACGTACATAAAAATGTAGGTACTTAACTGATTTATGCCTTGTGTTTGTGGTATTTCATTAAATTTTATGTAGATATCATAAATATATTTATGTGTTACACATTTATGTAAATAACATAACATAACATCACGCCTTTTATCCCCGAAGGGGTAGGCAGAGGTGCACATTACGGAACTGAATGCCACTGTACAATGTAACACCAACTTTTCACTATTTATGTTATGAGTATGTAATAGGGGGTGAGCCTATTGCCATATACCGGGCACATTTCCAGACTCCGTGCTACTACTGAGGTTTTTACAAACCCAGTAATACTTTGCCCGACCCCTTGCCCGGCAGTCGCCCTTGCGACCACTTGGCCAATGAGAATTTATGTAAATAGTCACGCATAAGATCAGAATTAATCAGAAATGAAGTTCTTGAATGAAACCGTCTATAAATTCTGTTTAGTCATACTTCAGTTGTTTATAAATAAACTGTGAAAATAATGTGCTATTAAATTGTACTAAAGAATATCTATCTCTTGTTTTAAAAATAATAGTACATCAGATTATAAATGTAGTTTTAACTACAAAATAAGTATAAGGCTGAAATTACATGCCTTGAAGGCAGCCGTCAATCAAACTAAAGGTGCTTAAAGCAAAATAATAAATGAACAAAAAGTTTTTATTTGAGGTTTCATTATTACATATATAGTATATACTCCACGGAGTTATATTACGTAAAATACAGACATTCAGCCTGGTTCCTAGCGCGATAGGGTTTTTTTTTAAGGGGGGAAAATCATCGAATGACTGCTCCCGCCGGGTGAGGCGGGAGGGAGTGTCAGACTCTTACTGACTAAAAACCACCCCGTTCCTTCTCCTGCACGTCGAGTCGGAGCCCCGGTTACCCGTTAGGTTCTCCGCGACAGCGCGATAGGGGTTACCGGGGCTCCGGCTCTATGCAGAATTAGGAACGATGTGTGTGGTTTTTAGTTAGTAAGAGCCTGATGGTCCCTTTCGCCTCACCCAAGCCTGGAGAAGTACCTATATTTAATGATTTTTTACCCTCAAAAGTGCGGCGATCTGGTTAAGATTCAGCGCCTATCCCAAAATTAATTAGGAAATGCCAGGAAGAAAATAAACACCTCCTTAAACAATAATGATGGCCGTTTTCCCAATCATCAGTGCCTTTAGCCAAAAGCCACTTTGGCGCTTGTCTACAGAGAAAGTAGAAAACTAAATGTATGAGGATGATACTGACAAGTGTCAAAATGTACGTCAATTCCATATAGTTAGTAATAGTTTCTATTCTACAAGTAGAAAAGTGCTTAATGACATTTGGCTACAGCTGCAGTTAATTCTTAACATTAGAATAAAATTGTTAGTTATTTCTCAATTAAAATTTATCTGAGCATTGAAAAATTGGCCCTAAGTAGAATTAATATAAGATACAGAACAGCGTGAAAACGTATCAAACTAGTTATAGTATTAGAATATCGCAATGCACACAAGTACATATAGTTCAGATAACTCGCTAAGCTTACTAGCACCATAGTTAGCAGTTTCTCCCTAATTGACTTGTTGGACGTGCATGAATAATAAGCAGTCTATAAATTACTGATTTTCCTATTTTTACTTCATCGGTCGTACAATTAATTTGTGATCTTTTTGCTGTAATAATAAGGTTCGCAATTAGATTATGGTTTATCTATCCAAAACTTTTGTGCATAGAGAGTGTAGGTACTATCCTTATTGTTACATTGAACTAATATCTAGTTTAATTAATAAACAATGAACTATTTTAACAAAGCACAATCTTTTATTAATCTCCTGTGTGTGGTGCGTTTACCAACATACAGTTTTATATGCACATGACACGTAGACCAGAAACAACAATTTTTGGATCACACAAAGAGTTGCTCCGTGCGGGAATCGGAACTGCTACAAGTGACACGATAGCCGGTTGCCTAGCCACCGCAGCAACCGTAAAGTAATTATAGGACAACATAATTAACTAACAAGCTAATGAATACTGCATAAGCAAATTTCAGTTGAACTATCTTCTTGCGAACCTGCGTCAATTATTTCAATCTAACGACAAGGCTCATTATTCTATTAAGATTATTGAACAAGTCGGTGAAATTAATATATCTTTTATAACTTCCGAAACATTTCCAAAAGATATACTTATCGTATAAATGTTTTCCGAAAGCAGTATCAATTAACTTAAAACTGGTTTATGTAAATCCTGATTGAAAGATAACTGTATCTTGTTAACCTTTGCTTGTCATATATTTGCAGGCGCCATCTTGCTTGTACCATTTGTCAGTTCAGTTTTATTGATTTATGTTTTATCTGCAGTTATGAAACAGGCTGTACTTTGATTAGGATAAATTGAGGCTGATACATCATATCAACCAAAAATGGAAACATGAAACTGTCCGGTAAACATTAAATCGAGCCTATTTTTATATGAGTAAACAAAGTTATACTTATGGAACTCACATATTCGCCAGTTTGAACTTCGAACCCTGACATTTATAAATAAAAAAATAAAAATAACAACAATTTAATAGGTACTTCGGTCAGTCAGATACTAACACCGCCTTCAATGAAAATACAAAATAAAAATTAGCATATATTTTGCTATTTAACAGACAAGCTTGTAGAACAATAGCCTCTCTCGTTCAAAAGTCAAGTGAAAGCATTCGTTGACCTTAAAAAACAAAACTATTGTCTGTATGAGAATTTTTAAATTGACGCGGTGACAATAATACAAAGAACTGTTCACATAGGTACCTACATAAACTCATGCTTTTGTCCTATGGCAATAAGCAAGAATTACAGAGCGTTATCTACGAAGATCCTTAGGGCTATATTTGACTGGGACACCATGGTGGCACACCCAGTCGCCGCGACCAACAAAATGTATACAGATCTATAGAGCCTTATACCTATTCACCTGGTGTCCACTTGGTTGCGCAACCAATCTGGCGGCGTGACCAGCTCGGACGACAGCAGTAGATGTCTATTTTGATACTGTCTCAGTGTGGTTTGGGCTCTGGTGTCTGGTTTAATAGCTCACAGACACCACGGTGGCGTGACTTGCATCGCCATGGTAACTCGGTGAAATTTAGCCCTTACTTCTGTGACTCCGTCATATTCCTCCTGGTTCTTTTGAGAATGTTATGTACTAATGAGATTAGCATAACCATGTTCTACTAGGCAGCCTGACCTGTATCACCTTAATTGCTTAAAAGAACAAAAACCGTAACTAAAGCTCACGCTAGGTAATTCCACTAGGGAAAGCCCCAGAATTCAAACGGGGACTCCCAAAAATCCCTAAAATACCATGAATCGTAAGGAACGTAAAACCAAATGCTTCGGTCAGGATCAACACCTCGTATTCGCTATTTCAACCTTGATCGTTCGACTAAATGTGTTTTTAACGTAACACAAACAGCTGGACAGTTTGCTACGAACATTTTATTGTGAATAAAAGATTTCACTATCGACTCGACGCCATAAACTCTGTAAAGTTAAAACTCTTTTTGACCATTTGCCAAAACAATAAATTAGATTTGGTTTTATCGGTTACATGAGCTAAAACATCTTGTTGGTCAGTTGGATAGTTTTAAAAACGAAACTATTTGTGAATAAGAAGAGAATGTCTTCGAAAGGGATTCTTTTAAACTGTCAAACACCAAGCGGTCACTGGTGACCGCAACCTATTGTTCTATAATTGTGTCTATATTGACGGTACTCGACGAGTTAAAGGAGCTTGCTGATCACCGCATTCCTTCATTTATATCTTTTCTTATTCTACAAGGACTATCTTATTTAGTAAGAGGGACACACCTGTCTTAAAAACCTATTTGTCGGTAATTCGGTATATAGGTAATCGAAGCTCGAAGTTATTTAGGTCGTACATATGTATTCTTTCATGAGTGTCCTTTAACGCAACTTCTCTGCACTTCACAGACCAGACCATTAAAGAAATGTTCTCCTGTCTTTCCAGGTTTGCCAACCAAACATCGACTGCACGTTACCAGCTAACAAATGGCGCTATATCGAAGACTTCACCTGCCTCGCCACCAATGAGAAACTGAAGAAAGAAATGAGACTGTCCTTCCCTAGCGGGCACTCGTCGTTCTCTGCTTATACCATGCTGTATTTTTCCGTAAGTATCAAAAACTAATAATAAGAATATTGTAAGTAGAAGTCGGGGCTGTACCTAATGCTATCCTAATGTAGCTCATGGGATAAACGATTGTACAGCTTTTTAATCTACAAATTTTTAACTAAAATCAACGCTTTACTTTAATATACTGAGAAAAGTTCTACTAGTTTCGAGTCACAGAGGGAGTGTTCCTAAGAGCTTCTTCAGCCAAAATCACTACAATTTTCATACTTTATCTTCTTCCCTTAGATGTATCTTCAGAAGCGCTTCAACTGGCGCGGCTCGAAGCTGGTCCGCCACGGGATCCAGTTCATCCTAATGCTGTTCGCGTGGTACACCATCATGACCCGTGTCTCCGACTACAAGCACCACTGGAGCGACGTGCTGGCTGGTTTCAGCATTGGATTGCTGTTTGCTATTGTTATTGTAAGTATATTTTTTGATCCGCAGAGGACTTAACTGGTTGCTGGGGCTCCGGTTCGAAGTGCAGGAGTAAGAACAGGGTGATTTTTAGTCTGTAAGAGTCTGATACTCCCTCTCGCCCCACCCGGACAGGAGAAGATAATTTTCCTCTCTCAAAAAAAAAACAGTACATTTATTGATGAATTTGGGAGCAATGTGAATTGTTAAGAATTCCGCATATCTTTACCTGATTCATTCGAACTAGGCAACTGTCAGTTGTTGAGATCAGAAAACAATTAAATAGTCAACTGATTGATGAGCAAATATTGGTACTTAAATTGGTAAGAACAGAAATATTTTTGAATAATTTTCGTTTTAACCGAGTGTAGGATTTACAATAACAATTTCCATTTTTAAACGAAAATATTCTGCAAAACACCGAACATTATCAAATCTTAATTCCAGTTCGCCTTCGTGTCGAATCTCCGCAAAAGTCCACGTTCACGGCAGCACAACCACGAGGCTGAGCTTCGAGTCACCAACGGGAACACGAGGGTGACAGTCTGACAGTCATCCCCCACCAGCTCTCGATGTGAAAGTGATGCAGAAGAACTATGATACGAACCACCAACTGTCTCATGGATCTCCCATGAGTACATTGACGCCTGCCGGCAGTCGCAAGAGTGAAATGTGCACAAACAAAAAATCGTGAGTGCTTACGATATTGACGTTTCAAATTTGAACCTTATGTCTTTTCAACTAGTGTTAGATTGCATTATCAGGCTGCTGAGACTTAAGTCTGTATTAAAATGTGTTTCAGTGACATTTTAAAGTAAATTGAACCTTATGTCTTTTCGACTAGTGTTAGATTGCATTATCAGGCTGCTGAGACTTAAGTCTGTAGTAAAATTAGTCATTTGTTCGACATATCACAAGCTAAAGTCAATTCTAATGCATTTTTAATAGAAAGGCAGTCTTTGTTACCCAATTAATGCAAGGGATTGCAGCTGAAAAGAAATTTTAGTCATATAATAGCAGCTATTGAATGGTACATAGATATTATGTTCCTTTAACAAGTTTGTGTATTTATTTTGTGTTCTATTGCTATGTACATAAGGTATTTTACGCTTCTTTTTGGAGTGAGTTGCAGAGTTTTATGATATTATTAAAATTACGTGGAATTGGTTAGTTTAGTGGTGTATGGGAAAGGGTATGTGTTGATTTAAAATGTAATTGGAAGAATGGTTGAATTTCGTATTTGGAAGATAATAAAAAATATTAATACCTACTTCGGCATGAAACATATGTAGAAAAAAAGTGAAATACAATGTGTTGTTTTAAAGCCGCGTCATTTTCTAGGAGGTAACTCGGGTATCGATTCTGAGTCCGAATCAATAAAGAAACTGTAGGTAAATATGTTTCATCTTTCTGTAAATTACGAAAAAGTGCGAACTACACGCCGCCGTCTTGTAACTAGCTTTATAACGCGGCTTAACACACACAAACTCAAACACGTAATTGATATTATTCCTAATTCCATAAAACTCCAATAAGAATCATTGCTGTCGGTTATTCTGAAATATTATCGAACTTAAACGATTTATTACAGCCGTATGTTTAACTATTGGCCCTTAATTTTCTCTTACATTGAACCTTTATGACTTCAGTGACATTCCCCCGAGAAATGTCACGGCTTCAAAACTACACCTTGTATAAGAACCTTATTTTTGAAATTCGTATATAAAGGTCGTTCCCATGCCACCATTACAATAGCCATATTCTACGTTTAAAAAAAAGATGATATTCGGATTTGTGCAATGTTATATAGGGTGTTGATAAATCGAGGTTTTGTATATATGAAATTGTGTTATTATAAATATTGATAGCGGGTACTAAAAGTATTACTTCTTGTACTCGAACTTATTGTTAAGATATTAAGATATTTATTTTTTATTGTACAGACAGCAAGTTGACATATACTTTTTTCAATATATAGCTTGATATGCGGTGTGTAATATAGTCTAGTCCGATAAGTTACGTGTGTAAGCAACACTACTTCTAGATACAGGCAAAAGTCAACTTTAATATTTTGCTGTCATAGTTTATTTTTGCTTGAAAAACTTAAATAGCAATTTTAGGATTTAAATTAGGAATCTCACAGTACGCATAGCAGCTAAAAGTTTACTATTCTAATTATATTGAAGAAGTGAATATTTGAAAGTACAATTGGGTACTTTCCTTAGTCAAAAATAAAATTCTTTCGACTGTTCAAAAATATTTTAGTATACATGATTTTATTAAAAAATAATTACCCCTTTATTAAACTGACAAACACCAAGCGGCCACCGGTGACCGCAACCTATTGTTCTATAATTGTGTCTACAAAACCGGTACTCGACGAGTTAATTGATTTTATGACCAACTTAATTTTAATATTTTTCCAGCATTTTTTTTTTTAAGGAATAAGTATGCTGTTTGACGCTAAAAAAACGTGACGTCACAATACACAATTTCGTACAAAATTCATAGAAAACTGTCGTTTTTAACAGTTCGAAAGAAGTATTGAAATTGACTAGTTGGCAAGTACCTAATTTTGATCCGCCATCATTAATTAGACGTAACTTATCGGACTTTAATGGCAGCTAAATAAGGCTATATTATAGCCAAAAAACTAAGAACTAGGAAGGTAGCCCACAAGATAGCTAATATTTCACTTCTATGGACAGTGTTGCCTACCTTAGGTAGAAAACAGAAGTGTTACAAGAGTAAAAAAATGAAATATTTGTATTAATGAAAATTTATTCACATAAGTAAAATAGTATCTTCTATTTTAAACGTAATTTTAAAATTAACGTTTGCATTATATTAAGATTGTAAATCGAGTTTCATTGCCTCTCAACTTTGCAAACTAAATTGAACTTACAGTAAATGTATTAAAGTTGATTTCTTATTGTATTTGACGTAAACATCCTTCAACAAAATATCATCCATATACCAAACGTATTGAAGGTTATAATCGCAAATGTCAAACTGGTATGATTTTCTATTTTAACTCTTACAACTTCAGTAATAAGGTTCTTGATTGAAAGACAATGAAACTCGAAAATTTGTACATATTTTAAAAACAGTACAATTTAGATTGCTTGCAGGTATACAGTAATACATTTAACCATAATTATTATTATATGTTTACACACAGAGTGTAAACGAAATGCCTCCGAGAAACGCCGACAGGTGATGGTCAAAAAAAAAAGATTAATTTTCACAAAAGTAAGGAATTTGATGTTTCTTTTATGTAATACTAGCTACCCGCTCCGGCTTCGCACGGGTGCAATATGCATGCATTATACATATAAACCTTCCTAAAGAATCACTCTATCTATTAAAAAAACAGCATTAAAATTCGTTGCATAGTTTTAAAGATCGAAGCATACATAGGGACAGACAGACGGCGGGTAGCGACTTTGTTTTATACTATGTAGTGAACAGTCGTAATCAACTGCTCAAGGCTGATGTAGCATGGATACCACGTAAACAAAAACTATATTTTTTGTTACTATATCACTAATGATAAACTATACTATGTTACTATATTATTAACTATATTATAAAAACTATGTTTTTCGGGGGCGTTCCGTGTACACTCTGTATAATGTCTGTTGATTTAAACGGCTCAGTAAATGAATTGTTATTTTTAATCATAGGTGGCGCCACTGTAAACTTTTTTATAAGGTTGATATTGGAATGATCTGTTTTTCAAAATGGCTCATTAGCCATCTCAGGTATATATATCTGTATAATAATGTATTATACTAGCCTTGAGTCGCGGTTTTACCCGCTTTTATTTATGTACTCTCAAGTGGAACACCTATGAAGGATTTCAAAAAGATTTTGGTTAATTAAAAACTGTAATAAGTTTACTAACAAAATTATTGTCGCTTATTTTTTTTTTCAAAACATAAGTTATGAACATGTTTTATAATATTCTTTCGAAATTCATTACTTAAATAAAAGCCAGTGTTTAAGCCATTTCAAAATGGCGTCAAAACTACTTAAAATGCAAAGCAATGCAATTTTTATATTAAAATAGAGAATACATAGGCAATATACGATACAATGTTATTTTATGCTTTACAGCCGAACATTTAAAAGTCTACTTATTTTAAGTATTCAAAAATGAGTTAGTTGCACAATTCGATACTTAGCAATTATAAGTATCCAGTTATGCAACTAGTAAATGCTTCGTATCGAATTATGCAACTAACTCATTTTTAAATATTTATGATATTATAATTAATACCTTTTTACCAATAACACAGAAATATCGGCGGCAAAGTTTATTCATAGTACAAGTAATTTATAAGATAATTTACATAAGTTAATATAAAAATACATTATAGTACATAATAATGCAAATATTTAAAATTGTTATAACTTTTACTTGATTCAAATTAATAATTGAACTCCTTAGGAGTTAGTTTCAATCGCACTTATTTAAAATCTTAAATATTGTTTGCAATTACGTATATTCAACCTTATTGCTATTGCTAAAAGTCTGAAAATAGATTCACCGTAAAAATTTTGTAACTTATTGCACAGAATGCATAAATGAGCCAAAACTAGTACATATTGCTCTATGAAAACCAACCTTAAGACAACAGTATAAAGAATAAAAATCTCTGGAATTGCTAAAAGAAGAACTGTCACAGTAAAGTTATCCCAATGTCTGTTGTGTTAAGGTTGATTTTTGTAAAGCAAGTCTGTATCTTTTGAAGGCTTATATTAATTTATGTTAGTCATAGTATATTCAGGAGTCTCGAAGACAGTTGTAACGTATTTTTATACTGTGATATAGGCTTTTAAATAAAAGGAAATTAAAGATCTGAGATGCGAATATTATTGTAATTAATCAATGTTAACAAGCTTTGTTTACAGTTCATTTAAGCTGTTTTGAACCGTATTGCATAGAAATTAGAGTTTTATTGTAAGCAAAATTATGTTAGCAATGTTTTTGGTGTTATAATCTACCTTATTTGGTATACTATAAAGTTGATAGTTAATAATTATAGTATTGTAGTATTGGACGTCGTCCTGACAGTTCTAAATTCAAAATTGTCCTGCGCGGTAAACAGCAACATTTTATGCCAGCTATTAGTCAATTTTATTATGTACTATGAAATTTTTATGAATGTCGATTAATTACAATAATTTGTACATCTCTGTAACAGGTACCCAATCTAGAAACGTAGCTTTAGGTCCAATTAGGTGCTAGATAAGTGTAATATAGTTGAAAATAATATTTTTACTCATTTTGACACATAGTTGTCTACAGTTTATACACTATTTTAAGTAAAATTACTTGTTTATATGTTTTTTTTAATGTATAGAACTTAAATGCACTGCCCTTACAATTCTCGATTTACTGTAACTTAGAGGCAGCTATTTATTTACTTATTTTTAAATATGGTTAAAAAGTTTATGAAGCATAATAATAAATCTGTATAAAGTGTTCCCATGTTATTTTATTTCCGAATTCCGCTTTACGAACAGCACCATCTAGTTTCTTTTCCCAGAACTACTAAAGCGGTCTTTTCAAATAGTTCTAAACTTAACCAATAGATGGCGTTAGTCTAACTAGGTGAGTTTTATATCAATACCTAATTTTATTCATACACATAGCAGCAATAATATTTACACTGTTAACCGCGTACGTACGCGTTATCGCTAACAAGATGAAATATAATAGTGCAAGGACCTCGGTAACTGTGCTTTTTGCAATGTTTGACAATGACTAACGCCGCCTACTACTTACCCACAGATTAGTAATTTTTATCAGTTTCGAAGCAGTCTTTATCGTGTGGGCCTTGCTAGTGGTTGCGTGGAAGTGAAAATAAAAGTTTTTACGTAAATAATTATGTTATAGTGTTACAATGGCAGTCGACAGGTTAATATGGAAGATTATACTGGATTTCCTTGTCCTGGCGTGCGGTGAGTCAGCGATATTTAACTTTGTTACGTTGGCCAAATGTTTTGTATTGCTTAACTGAAGTTTCACACTTGAACGAATTAATCAGTGATCTGTGATTATCGCTGAGATTTTTATCTTTAAGTTTTGTATCTGTCTGTCTATTTGTCTAACGTCTACCCACATTTTTAGTTAATAATTTATAAATAAACATTTTTGTATTAATTTGGATTAATTAAATAATGTTCTTTGTTCTGTCTTATTTTTGGGGTTTTTATTATGCTGGTTTCAAAAATTATCAATAAACTTGCGGCTTAAGATAAATTAAATCAATTAAAATTCCAATTGTACCTATATGATAGACAGTTTTAATAAAAAAAAATGATGAAATTGTACTTATAACTTCTAACATAAACTTAACATAGCTTGATGTTAATTTAACTAATGGTAACCAACGTACCTACTGGTTTCCATAACCACCTTGAAAGTATCACCAAGTTTCATAATATTTAGAGTCGAAATTAAATACTTACTTAGGTACCTAGGTACTCTAAATAGACTAAAACTACCGTATATACGGAAGCGAAATGTAATAATGGAGTAATAGAGTTTTTAAACCAACCACAATCATGTCAACATTAAATCCTAATTAAGCGTTTATTTACATTGTTATCACATCACAGCTAAAAACGGCCTTGACGAGACCTCACCGACAATAACACCAGAGTATTTTCAACTTATTTTAAAATTTTAATAAAAAAATATAAAATGAAACTAAACATAAGTAGGTACGGCGTATTATTAACTTCTTTAATTTTGTTACTTAGTTTTATTATGTATTCTGACATTTCAATCAGACTGCCTCGTTGACCGAGTGGTCACAAGTGCGATTGCTGGACAAGGGGTCTCGGGTTCGATTACCGGGTCTGGCAAATTAGTGCAAAGTAGGGTTTTTATAAAAAAAATCAGTAATAGCACAGAGTCTGGAATTGTGCCCGGTATATGGCACTAGGCTCACCACCTGGGACTCATAACATAAATACTGAAAAGTTGGTGTTACATTGTACAGTGGCATTAAGTGTAGTAATGTGCACCTCTGCCTGCCTCTTCGCCTTCGGGGATAAAAAGGCGAGATGTTATGTTATGTTATGTGCACATGCCAACTAGATTATACTGATCGTGATTTCTAAACTTTGAAGCAGACAATAGATAATAAGTAGATAATAATAAACCTAATTTTAAATGCCAGCAGACTAACTACAAATAACAAATTGTGTCCGTCTTTGTTATGCATTTCACTCCTAAACCGCTGAATCGATTTCGATGAATTTTCGCACCGATATAGGTAGATGATGAGACTAAAGCGACAATTACAGAGACACATTTTAACAGCTTGAAAGCACCGATATGGAACACAATAGAAAATACGTTGTATCTCGAAAGGTTAATTTTTAATTCAGAGGGCCAAGCACGAATAACTATCGCATTCGTATCGTAACAGTATCGAGCGAGTTAAGCGTTCTGATTGGTAGGTGAACTTGAGCCGACCAATCAGAGCGCCGAACGCGCTCGATACTATTACGTTACGAATGCGATAGTTATTCGTGCTTGTGCACCAAATGTGACCTATGTCATAGGCAAAAGTGTGTCCCACTGAATAGTAGGATCCAATGCGTTATCAGACTGTAATAACACCTAATGTCCTGACCTGCATTAAAATTATATCTCTGAGGCCATAATTCATGTCATCTCATTTGATGTTTTTATAATAACTATCGTGAGACATACTAAATTAACTAAAATCACGGGTTACTCACGTGAATATACTGAGAAAAGCTCTACTAGTTTCGAACCACAGAGGGGTTCTTCCTCATGAGCAGCGTGCGAGGTCGCGGCGACGTCGCGGCGACGTCGCGCTGCTCACTGTGCAGCATCTCATGTTATACCTATAGTGGTCTATATTTGATCATAGTGAACACATTATGATCAAATATAGACCACTATAGTAGCAGGCGGTAGTATGAACACATAAATCTCGCTCTGGAACCCGCCTGCTAAGCGTAAACAGTATTGCAAACCCCCTTTATGTAGTGAAAACCAGCTTATAAAGCTTAGATTACTTGTCATCAGAGGTACAGCTGATGACTAAGTTCATGTTTAAAGTTTTTTCTATTCTATACCTTTTTGTTCAAACCTTTAGAGTTGAAATACCTTTGAACACCCCCTGACACATCCTAAAACAGCGGCAACCTGTCCCTTTGACATTAACAGATACATAGACAAATAGATAGATGATACTTAGTGTAAAGGTCAAACGCTGCCGTTATGATTGGGGACGTCTTCAACCGCACTGCGGTGTTTTATATAACCGCACTTATTTGTATCCAATAATAGCAGAAATGTGTCTATTAGCAACCAGTCCTTTGACTGTGTACAAATTTTTCATAACATCACGCCTTTTATCCCCTAAGGGGTAGGCAGAGGTGCACATTACGGCACTTAATGTCACTGTACAATGTAACACCCACTTTTCACTATTTATGTTATGAGTCCCATGTAGTATAATAATTTAAATTTAGGCTAATAACTATTCTCTTGTGCATGATGGATTCATTAAATTTATTACAGGATAACAAGCCTTTAATTGACTGTTACCCTAGCAAATGCATAATTTGTAAACCGTTTTGTTGTAATATGATGTATAAACAGTCGTTGGCTGACCCTAAATTAATAAAAATAATAGGGGGTGAGCCTATTGCCATATATCGGGCATATTTCCAAACACCGTGCTACTACGTAGATTTTTTTTAAACCCCGTAATACTTTGCCCGACCCGAGAATTAGTACGCAAGGGGTCGGCCCTTGCCTGGCAGTCGCATTTGCGACCACTCGGCCAACGAGACAGACAATTTTTTCCGAATAATATTTATGTTCGTGACTTAAATAAAAACAATGAAAAAATAAAATACTCGCGAGTTATCTTTCAAATTCTACGTAGGGGATACTACAGGCGGTGGAAAACACTGAGATTTGCTATTTTTAGTGTCTCATACAAAGTTTCCTTGAGCCGCGGAGGACTTAACGGGTTGCCGGGGCTCCGGCTCGAAGGGAAGGAGTAGGAACGGGGTGGTTTATAGTCAGTAAGAGTGTGACACTTCCTCCCGCCTCACCCAGTCAGGAGAAGTCAATCGATGTTTTACCCCCTTAAAAAAATACAAAGTTTCTTTCATCGTACGTACTTTGGTTACTCCAAATTACGCAAGCTAGTGGTCTTGTGTTAGATTTTCGACAAAGTATTGCCTCTGTAGACTTATAAAAACTTAAATAAGTGCATATTTATTCATAATATACTATTATGGAACTTGACACAATTGTAGTAATCAATATTAATATCGAGGAAAGCTCTCATTATATCAAATGATAAAAATAATGATAAACCGCGAGATTAGAGGATTATCTTTGTGGTAGAATATATTTGCGGCGTCATAGATTACAATAAGCGGGCATTTGGATTAGTATATTAATATTTCCTGTGTATTATTTCGACTTCTCAATGTATTATAGTGGAATATAAAACACACACTTTCATTCATGAATTTGACGATAACCTACCTATTTCATGTTCTATCTGATTTGTCTTTTATTTGACGCAAAAATATTACGACGTTGTAAGTTGTCGATCTCATACACTACTCAAAGTAAGGCATCGATTTTGACATACAAAACTCAAAGAAAAGTATCGTTTTTGTCATTTCTATAAAAAAGCAATGAATTTGTCTAATTATCTACTACCTAATTGTCTAATACTTATACATGTTATTGTGATGTAGAATTTCTCACAATAAACTATTGTTATAGTATAATTATCTTTTGGTCAAATAGCAATCAAATATTCGACAAAAGCGGAAAATATCCAATGACCTTGTGACAGGCTGCACCCTTAGAAAATAGCATTAACGCTAGTCGAATGAAAGTGAATAAAAAATCAATGCAAGGACCTTGACACTAACACACCTACGATAAACTATGTCATATCATAGTTAATGCCAATCCCATAAACTGAACTTTATGAGCTAGCCGAATCAAAGCGAACAGCACTTTGATGTCGTTGGCATTTAGGGCATTATTTTGCTTTTATGGCATAAGCCGGTAAACGAACAGACGGGTCACCTGATGGTAAGCAATCGGCGTTGCCCATAGACACCTGGAATACCAGAGACGTTATAAGTGCATTACCAGCCTTTTGGGGACAGTAGTTTGAGGATCGTTGGGGATTCAGGGATTGGGAAAGAGGAGGGGTGTAATTGGGCCTTCGGTAACCTCACTCACACGACGAAACACATATGTTATGCATATTATAAGCTCTGACATATTTATTACGAATCTTATCTCCAAGTTATAGCCGCGGAAGCGGCTATAACTTGGAGCGTATAAGCTGATGATTGACTTCACGTTGTAGCTGGCTAGCTGTTGTGCAATGTGTTGTGGATTTATTCATGCTGCAGTGGTGATCTATATCTATATAATGTCGCGGAGAACCTAACAGGTTACCGGGGCTCTGGCTCGAAGTGCACTAGTAGGAACGGGGTGGTTTTTAGTCAGTAAGAGTCTGACACTCCCTCTCACCTCACCCGGGCGGGAGAGAAGTCATTAGATGATTTTCTTTCTGCACTCAAAAAAAAAAATGTCTGCTAGCCAAAACAGCCTAATTGAAGTAGTAGTGCTTGCTGTTTGTAAGTTGTTTAGATGTATGAGTGAATATACTGTAAGAAAATGTCAGGAAACTGCTAAGTCCTCTTGTCTTCCTAGAGTCTACGATAGGCGGCGCTGATCACTTTCTATCTGGTGATCCGTCTGCTCGTTTGCCTTTGTTCTATAAAAAGTATTTGGAAAAACCATTAAATGAATCTACTCCAAGGCAACCAGGACAGTGCTTGTTACAAAACAAAAGATGATCTTGACCATGGTGGGTACTTAGCCGAGTTTCCTTAACACGAATTGTTTCGTAAGCAGCTATCCCAAT